GTTGATAAGTCATACATACTTCAAGTATATGAGGGAGAACCGAGCTAGAGCCATGCAATGTGCTCCATAGAACTCGCACCACTTGGCCAGTTCAGACGAGTGATTCTTTCAATGTCAAATAACATTTCACTTAAAATCACTTACTGATATGGAATACAATGATCACTACTTCCTTTCAGTTATTCATTTTTTAGTCGTATGACTACCGTAGTTGCACGATAATTAAGCAGCTATCACTCATATAGACCCCAATTATAAATGTCTTTGAACACTCAAACAAATAAGCAGTATTCAATTTAAACATTTCTAGTAAGTGAGTATCGACAATTATGCATCCTTGAAAGTCTGAGAACTCATTGCTCTTGTCTTTTGTCTTGTTATGAACATATTTCTGTATTAATAGTGATCAGTCACATGACACGGCACATGATCAGTTTATTTTGATACGCAAACACAGTCAATGTATCTGAGTGTTATAAACTACAAAGCAAAAACGCAAAATAAATTTTTACCGGGATTATCACAGAAGAAAGCAAATGTATACTAATATATAATGTTAAACGAAACATAACCTACCTCCAAAATTATCATATAACAAAAACAAGTTGCACTTAATTATAAGTCACTCAAGTAACTTGTTTTTAACTTATGTTTTTCATTTCAGTACCATCAATATTAGAACAACTGAGTCCTCTTCTCGTGATTGCTGCAGTAAGAATAACATTTCTGATAATTTCTTTAAGGCAAGAACAAAATAGTATTTAAAAAAATTTTAAAGAGATTTTTAATGTCTTTTCTAAGTTATTTATAGTTGTGCCATGTATGTATATACTTAATAATGAATTCAAAGTGACTGAGAAATCAGAAATTTTCAATGATCAATTTGTGTTTAAGTAGAATAATAAAATAGTTCCAAACATTTACAGTAAAATAGAAAAACATGGAAACATTTTCTTCATTACTTTGCATGATACTATAAATTAAATGTGGAGTATCATCACTTAAAACTTAAATTTGGGAGCACTTTTCGCAATATTACAAGTTCGTCTGATTAAAGCCCCCCAGTGATACAGCGGACTTATAACGCTAGAATCCGGGTTTCGATACCCATGGTGGGTATAGTACAGATAGTTGATCTAATATGACCATAGAATGTTTCTTCATTAAAAAAGAACTGTAAAAACATATTATGCAATTGAAATTCATAAATTACATGACTATTCGCATCGTGCTGGAATTTTGGACAGTATAACTTTTGACCTTTTCTCTTATAGTCTGCCAATGCATTACATTACTAGAGAGAAGTTCTCGACTTTGGCAAGTTCTAAGAAACATCTACATTTAGCAGATTTCTAATCCTGGTTCAGACGTATTGTAAAAGTAAGTGAAAAACATCCGGTGCTTCTGTTATTTTGCTGATTGGTTTTCGTATTTTTAGCATAACAAAAGACAACGTTGATGACAAAATATTTGATCTCTGCATATCATTTCACTAGATTTATCATGTAAAATTTCAGTTTGTAAGCTCAGAAAAACTCGTTTATCGACTATTTTGCATTTCAAAATAAATATTTTCTTCACATAGATATTGAGATTTTGAAATAATATTATGGCAATGTGTGATGCATTATCTTTTATTTATACTTTATACAAAGATCATCAAATATGTTAATCGTTTTTATCAGTTACAAATCAGTGTTCTGTGTTGTTATATATCAGATGAAATGTACTAGTTCTTGTTTTCATTTATTGCATGGCACAAAGAACTTTACATGAATCACAACTTGTCATAAAACTTTTGTACATTTTATAACTTATTTAGTTCAGTACAGTATGTAAGACTTTTAATATAGCTTATAAACAAACAAAAAACAGTTATTGTACAATCATTGTATTTTTCTAAGTATTTGTATTTTACAATGAAAACATTTTAAACTCACTACTCAGTAGGATTAAACTGCCTAACATACAGCAATAAGTCAAAAGTTCAGTCTGTGTCAGTCGGAAAGTGTAGGTAGTGTCAATGTTAGTTTCATAATTTACTAACATAATTCTACTCTGTTCAGGCCAAAGATCAAAGGTTAGATAATTATGTGTCTAGATTATTCTTTTATGATACATTACAGCCCGTGAATGCCAGTTTTTAACAAACAAGTTTGACTAATCACATGCTAGAACAAGTGCATACTGCAGATATTATTACATACAAGTATATACTGCAGATATTATTACATACAAGTATATACTGCAGATATTATTACATACAAGTATATACTGCAGATATTATTACATACAAGTCTGCAGTATGAACTTGTATGTAATAATATCTGCAGTATATATATTATTACATACAAGTGTATACTGCAGATATTATTACATACAAGTATATACTGCAGATATTATTACATACAAGTATATACTACAGATATTATTACATACAAGTACATAATGCAGATATTATTACATACAAGTGTATACTGCAGATATTATTACATACAAGAGTTTACTGCAAATATTATTACATACAAGTATATACTGCAGATATTATTACATACAAGAGTTTACTGCAAATATTATTACATTAACAAAATGTTTGCAGTTTTTTCAAATGGTTTATTAGTATATGTAATTCTTGAAGTTTTGTTAATAAAAGTTTCAGTATGTGTGACACTTGTTAAGTCTGTGATTTTACTTAAATATATTAATGATATCTGTTTAATCATGTGATACTTTCACGTGGCTTTATTTTCGTACAATTTATTGTCATTGGTGAAACCTGTTAGAAGTTTACTGTGGACAACTGTATGTTGTTTACTTTGTTATGGTACAAAGTTCGAAGCAAAGTACTTGTGCCTGTCTTTCGTATGGGGCATTTTGCGGTACGTATTCGGTACCCGGGGTGTCAAAACTTATGCGTCCCGACAAATTCCCGTGCGTACAGAATCGGGATTTTGGGTTAACTAGAACCCTGCCATTAAGTACAAGAGATATTGCCATCTTGGATATTCTAAATCTCCGACCTCAACACACCTTTGGTTACAGATTTTTGTTATATTAATATGGCAGAATAGGAAGAGGGTTAATTAAGTAATATAAATTGGCAGACTAAAATATTACATAGCAAAATATTCATTCAAGGTAATTTGAATAAAAATTGTAAAATTAAAAGCAGGAAGAATGTTAAAAGTATACAAAAACTTTATCTGACCAATGGCCAACATAAAAAAACTAATTGTTTGTCAACTTTATGTTGCTATCAACAGTAAAATATACATGACAAGCGACTAAGTTTATATAAAAAAATGTTTAACACATTAAGGGTAGTAGGAATATTATCAGGCAGACGGTAGCACTGCCTACGTAGGGATTGTTCATCGAAATGGTATTTTAAATATCTCCTCAAAGACATCTGAACTTTACAATACAGTGCTTCCTGTTATAACAATATCTATGTAATGACTGAGTCATAAGTTCTAGAAATGTCTGTAAATATCATAGCAAAAATTTGAATTTCTCGTTCTTATTTCTTCTGCTTCTTTTTATTACACGATAACTCAAAAACCAAAACAATGGTGTTAGCCAATTTCACCGAGGTGACGTAATTCCAAACATGGTATTCGCTTTTATAAGCGTTATTAATAATTAATAGTACTTTTAAAATATCATAATTCTAGCGCAAACGATGTTATTATTACACCTTAAAGTTTGCTCTTTTACAGAACTTTGTAAGCTTAATTACAGTGTGAAACAGGAATTACCATCCAATAATAGATAAACAATAAATATTACAGTTGGAACCTCATTGTATTTAGACATTCCCAAGTATATTGAAACACTGCAAATAAACAAACAAGGAAAAACTTTTCAAAAAAGGAAATAAATGTAGGGACGGCTAATATAAATCGTTCAAAAATAATGTAAACAAGATAGTAGGGATGGCTAATATCAATCCTTCAAAAACAATGTAAACAAGATAGTAGGGATGGCTAATATAAATCGTTCAAAAACAATGTAAACAAGATAGTAGGGATGGCTAATATCAATCCTTCAAAAACAATGTAAACAAGATAGTAGGGATGGCTAATATCAATCCTTCAAAAACAATGCAAACAAGATAGTAGGGATGGCTAATATAAATCCTTCAAAAACAATGTAAACAAGATAGTAGGAATGGCTAATATAAATCCTTCAAAAACAATGTAAACAAAATAGGGGATGACATTTGTATCACCTCTACATAATAACACAGGCAAGAATAAACATATAGCAATATATATAACTATTCAGTCACAAATGAGTTTAATTTATCCTATTTTTGTCGGTCAACATTCTACTACACTGTGTACCTGTGTGAGCTGATCACGGTGTAGAATGTTGGATTAGGTTACCACATGACAACAAATCATCTAGGCAAAACAAAACACCAAAACCTTAACTAATTAGTGCACTATTATAATTTCACAAATATGGACAACGGTTAGTTTGCCGTACTGTGGATTAGAGGTTCGATTCCCATCACCGCAGGAAAAAAAATCGCACACAGCATTATAAGAATGATGGTCAAATCCCACTATTCGGTTAAAGTACCCCACGAGTTGGCGGTCAGTGATGTTGACTAATTGCCTTCTTTCTGACCTGTCACTTCAAAATTAGGTATAGCTAGCGCAGATAGCCCTTGAGTAATTCTACAACAGATGTTCACATTCAACTACTTTACTCGTCCTAATACACATCGGATTACTTTGTTTTAATTATCTTCCGATACATAACATTAGTGATCCTGTAATGAAGAAAAATGTACTTGGATGGATGGAACTGATCGCAAGTGGCTGATCTACTGCACCGAAAAAAATGCTGCATACACACACATATATTTTACTCAGTCTGCCTACTAAGAGTTCTGTACCAAATCCGTTTATTGAAGGAATGAAAGACTGAAGACATATTCATCAAAAAATCGAAGAACATGAAAAAATGTCATGCACAAAGGCTGTTTTGAAGGTCAGCAGTGAAGAAATCAGTAATTTACTAATAAAATGTCTGTATACCGAGAACATGTACAAAAGAGGCGGAAAGTACTGGGGTGGATGAAATACATTGTGAATGTGATAGGCAAGTGCGGACACAGCTACAGGAGACACAAATTAGTGGTTGCGGACACGTAAAGGATTTTCTCTACATAATGGCAAGTTTATAGTTTGCTCTACTTAGCAAGTACAACGTTTGTCAACAAAAACACAGAAGTGATTACATAACTTTACTCTCTAATACAACAGTTAATACTGGTATCGAAATAATCTCTAAAACAACAGCTAATACTGGTATCGAAACAATCTCTAAAACAACAGTTGATTTACAAGACTGTTGCAAATGAGGTGAAAGAAGTTGGGATGTTTTAAGTGCAAGGTGAAACAGCTCAAGATTTCACTTCAAAAGCTCAATGATCTGTTGAAATATTTTACGTAACAGAATACATTTAAAAGCTCACTCCTTGCGCAAATAAATAGCTGTTGCGTCGGCGAGGTCACGTGACTAGTGTCACGCCACGTTTTCTAGAAATATC